CATCGTTCGTGCGGTTCTATATTGAATCAGTAGTGAAAAAAATTCAAAGACACTTAAAAGAGCCTCCAAACGTGCATAAGATTTCTGATCCTTGAATGAATTGATGTTATTTTTGTGCAGAATTTTGAATTAACATGTAAACTATATAATTTATACCCGGATCTTGGCATAAAAGAAATTGATTCATCCTTATGATTTTTGTTTTTCCGTTGCGTTGGGTAGATCGATTCCTAACAACTCTATCTCGTTCAAGTCGAGGCGGGGTGGGCCAAACGCCCATCCCTATTATAGAGAGAATTTGGGAAAGAAGTTAAATTAAGATTTAGGGTTTCATTAATTTATAAGCGAGGGTATATAATTAATTACAGTAGTTTGGTGGTCATTTTAGAGAGAGTTTGAAGAGTTAGATGATATACATTTAAGAGTGTGAAATAGTGGTTTGAAATTAGGGTTTCATTAATTTATATGCGAGGGTATATTATTAATTACAGTAGTTGGGTGGTCATTTTAGAGAGTCTGAAGAATTGGATGATATACATTTAAGAGTGTGAATAGTGGTTTGGAGCAATTTCTGTTCCAAAATGAATGCGACATACTAATATTTGATACTTAATTATCTCTCATTGTCATATAAAATTTACCCTTATAAAGGGTTTTTAATATTCATTGTATAACACTTGAGACTCAACTATCTCTCATGACTAGAGGTGGAAAAGTAATCTGCCCGACTCGACCCGACTCGCAGCGGGTTATGCAAATTGGCGGGTCGGTCCTGACCCGCCCGCCAACATTGGCAGGCTGGGGTAGGCCTGCCAATTTTGGGGGATTCGCTGGCCCACACCGACCTGCCAACCCTAACCCGTCGGTTAACCCCCCCCCCCCCCCTCCTCCCCCCACCCTTTTTGTTTAAGTTTAAATGTTTATTAATTTTTCAAATGAATAATTAACAATTTGTAAATGAATAAATGTAATTGTTTCAGTTAACTTTTTTTTCAAATATCAATAATTCAATTAAATTTTTTTTTTTAACTTTCAATTTAATTCAATTTTAATCCATTAAAATTGTAATATAAGAAAAATTAAATTTATTCTTTATCAAAAATAAAATAAGAAATTACAATAATTATTGCCTTGTTAAAACCTCACCAAGAAAAACCCATGGAACAAAAACTTGATAAGAAAAAAGAGTGCAATAATTGCAATTAATTTACAAGTTACAATTTACAAACAACTAATTTTGGGGTTGACTAGGACCTCCCTCATCCGTATCATCTATATTACAAAATTGAAATGATTTTATTAAGTATCGTTGACAACCTCGTATTGACCTTGATGGCGCGACCGTTCCCAATCTCGAAGACATGTGAGGACTTCAATCATTTTTTGTGAAAGTTTAGTCCTCATTTCATTTAAAATTCTTCCACTTGCACTAAATGTTTGTTCGGATGAGACGGTTGAGACTGGAACAGCAAAAACATCGAAGGCAAGTCTTGATAATACCGAAAAAATACATTTTTTGGTTTTCCAATATTCCAAGACATCAAAGTTGGCTCTTTGTTGTGGATCTGTTGGTAACATTTCAGGAGTTCCCAAATATTGTTGAAGCTCGTTACTCTGTGACTGCATGGCAGACAGTAGATTCGTTGTTGCCGTTGGTGCTTCTGAAGAAGAGGTTGCGCCTGTGCTTCGGGTTCGGTTCCTCTTCGGCCTATTAAATGCACTCTAGGTGTAGAAGTCTTCATTTGTTTCTTCTGATGAAACTTCCCTTTGTATTTCGTGTCTTTGCGGGTTCCCATACCTGTTTTCATATTGGAAATATGCCTCTGCAAGACAATTTTTTACCTCTCCTATTTGATTGACAAATGCTAAGTTTTGTAAATTTTTAGTTAATGTCTCTAAACCATTTTCTAAACCTTCTTGTTTAATTCTAGGATAAAAAATGGCACCTAAACAATAAAGAAAAGGAATGGGTTTAAAATATTTAAAAAAAAAAAATTTCATTGCCTTTATTAGTTCTTTTAAAATTTCATTGTTTTTGTTTTTTATGTATTACCAATGGACTATTAGGATAATACACACGATAAAGTTGTAAAGTGAATTGGTAAAAAATTTTAAGAAAAGAATGAAATACTTTAGCTATTTGCTAATCATTTTCTATCAAATAACGAGGACCTTTATTATTTGCTACAAAATAACTAATTAAATTAGCATAAGGTAAACATGAATCAATTATTAAATAAGTACTATTCCATCTAACAGGCATGTCTAATGCAAATGTTCTATGAGACATGTTTGATTTTATACAAGCATCTTGAAATTCAGCATTTCTTTTATTACTACCAGTAATCCAAGCTAAACAATCTCTAATTCTATCAATATTTCCTTTAATTATTTTCATACCACTTTTCTCAATTAAATTAATAACATGACATGCACAACGTTGGCGAAAAAACTTAAAATTGTTATATAAATAATAATTACTTTGAAAATAAGCTATAGCTCTACTATTAGAACTTGCATTATCTAAAGTTAAACTTATAACTTTACTAACAATATCATAATCTTCTAAAACTTCAACAATTTTATTATAAATTCGTTGACCACTATGATTAACATCCATTAATCTAAATCCTAATAAAGAGTTATTTAATTTACATTCATTATCAAAATAATGACTAGTCACACAAATATAATATTGTTTAGCTTTACCACTCCAAATATCAGCAGTTAGAGCCACACTAACATAATAAGTATGTATTTTATTTTTTAATTCTAATTTCATTTTCTGAAACAATTTTATTAAATCATTTCTAGTTGCAGTTTTAGAATAACTTTTAAATCCTGAAAAAATTGATTTTTTAATAAATCTTTCAAAATATTTATCTTCAGCTATATTAATAGGTTGATCAGTTGCAGCAATATATAAAGCTAATTGTTCTATATATACATCAGAATTATAACGTCAAATAGTACTCATATTAGTTATTTGAGTTTGATAGGTTTCTCTATTTCCATGTTGAGCAATATGTTTATTTGCATGCCTTTTTAAAGTACTAGTACCATTATTTGAATCATCTTTATAAACATTTCCACAATACTTGTATCTTGCTTTCTTCACTTGAACTCAATTTTCTACCTCGTAAAACTTATCGAAATGCGTCCAAACGTCTGATGTGTGTCTGTCGTCGCTTTCGACAACAGTTGATGAACCCGCTTCAGCTTGAGATGAAATTGGACGAGGACGACGATTACGAGGACGACTTCTAGAACCACCGGGAGCTGTATGGGGAGGAATCGGGAGCATATTTTGAGGTGTATCGGATTCTAAGACTAGGAAAGCTGCGGGACTATTTGAATCTCCTGCATTTATGTTAGTAAAATCAACGGGACTAGGACTAGGATAGTAGTTTTCTTCATCATTGATTTGATGGGAGAAAAATATCTGTCATTGTAGTTGAAAAAAAATTGATGTAGAAGAAATAAAAAATTAAAGAAAGAGAATTGGAATATGGAAATTGGAAATATGAATTGAAAATTGCAAAAACTAATAAAAATTAAAATAAGAGCAAATTGATAAATGATAACAAAGAGATTAAGAGAATAAATGAATAATTGAGATTTGAGAGATTAGATATTAGAGAAAATGAGAGAATGAGAGAATTTGAGTTGTGAGAAAAGATGAGAGTTTAGGGCCAATTTATAGAAAAAAATGGGAAAAGAAAATGACGAAAAAGACCCTTTCAACAGCTATAAAACGGCTATATTTCAAGGGTAAAAGGGTAATTGGAAAAAACAAAATAATTTTTCCTTTTTTTTTTTAATTTGTTTTTCAGCCAACCTGCGGGTCAACTCGATGGGTTGGCCGTTGGTGCAACAACCAACCCGGCGGGTTGGCAGTTCCTTCTCTAGAAAGGACAAAACAGTAACCCGTGAGTCGTCGGGTTGCCATTTCTCAACTCGGCCCACCCGGGGGTTGCTAGCGGGTTGGGTTCAACCCGGCCCGCCTTCTTGGTGATCCGGGTTGAACCCTCTTGAATACGGGTCGGGTTAGGGTTGACCCACCTAACCCGGCCCATCTTGGCGATCCGGGTTGAACCCTCTTGAATACGGGTCGGGTTAGGGTTGACGTACCTAACCCAGCCCATTTGTTCCACCTCTACTCTATGACCCAATAAAATTTACCTTTATTAAGGATTTTTTTATTTGGACCCGTAACATTAGAGACTTAATTATTTCTCATGACCCAATAAAATTTACCATTATTAAGGGCTTTTGAATTTTGATCTCACTCCCTCACAGATTTAATCAAATAACAAAATTTCTTTTGAGGTTTCAAAAATAATATGAATCCTCTTACTGTTAATAAGCTATTAGTATAGTATTATAATTTATAATGTCATTAACATCATAATTTTACAATTAAATGAATATTTATTTAATTGTCTTATAGTTTATTTTAACATCTAGTGGTAGAGATATTTTTATTATTACTATAATTGAAGGTGATTTTTGTTATTTAATTATTTTCAAAGGGGAAATGTTGTTAACTTGTTATTAATCCCTTAATAAATATTACAAAGTTATATTACTTCTATTTCTAATCGATACTAGAATCGCGTTACAGTTTTATAATATAAATATTTCAACTATAAGTATTTATATTTTACCATGATAAAATATAAAAATTATATAAAATAAGAATAATAAATTAAAATTGAAAAAAATCTATATTAAAATATCATTAATTTGAGGTTACTCTAGCATATGTTTTATATCATAGAAGACCAATACGGCCTAGACGAAAGTCAAAGCATCAAAAGCTCATTAAGGCTAATTCTGGGTCCAAAAGCTCTGATGGTGATATTACAAAAATTCAACGGACAAGAACCCTGCAAATCCATGAGTGACAATAAAGGCTCACTACACGACAACAGAACAGAAGAGAAAAGAAGGGGCTATGTGATGGTTATGGTTTCTGATTATCCCAACTGCTACACGCAGATGCCGTAAGCAATAATAATATACTCGAGCCCACACGCAAACTCCCCTGTCTTCTCTCTCTTCAATTTCCTCTTATTATTTCTCTTCTCTGCAACACCACACAGCCTCTTCACGACATTCAAAGCTGCGTTTCACTTCTCTTGTAAGTCCTTTTCAACTCCTTTCTTCTCTCCCTTCACTTAACTTTTTTATTTTACTTTTCGGTTCCTTCTGTTCTTTCGATTCGCCCATGATCTGAGGTAACAAGAACTCTCTTCTCCCATGCTTCCTTGTTCGGCTATTTTCGTTTCTAATTCTGGCTTTGTTTTTTTTTTTTAATTGTTTTTAATATTTATGATCTGTTTATTTGACTCTTCTAATCGCTTCGTGTTTTAATGTATGTTCTGTAATCGAAATTTTATTTTGCTTTCGGAAATTGTTTTCTGATAGCAGGTTTGTTCTTCTGTTGTGTAATTTATTCTTGAATGTGTTATTATTATTATTTTTTTTTTGTTCAACGTCTGATCCAATCTTATTAATCGAACTGAACCTCATGAAAAAATGTATCTTTATATATATATATGTTGAAATACTCTGTTATATGTTTGTATATGGGCAACTTAGCTTTAGTTTATGGATTATATTGTTCTCTTCTTTATTTGATTTTGTCTTTTTTTTTTTTTTTCCCCCTGTTTCTCCTTTCAGTGAAGAATCTGTATATTGTGATATGTTTTTTATATAGGCAAATTGCTATGGTTTACGGATTATATTGTTCTCTTATTTATTTGATTTTGTGTTTTGTGTTTTATTTATTTATTTTTTAACTTGCAGTGAAGAAGGTTAGTTCTCTTTGCGCGTGTCCCGTTCTCTTCTCCAATCCTCCACACTTTCAATCCGAAAATACCAAAAACTTTATCCAGCCTCAAACTATATATTACATATTAATTCATAGATATAGTTTTATATTTACCCAAATGGAGGTGAAGCTATGGAATGACAAGCGCGAGAGAGAGATGTATGAGAACTTTGCTGAGCTTTATGCTATAATCAAAGCTACTGAAAAGCTTGAAAAGGCTTATATTCGGGATATTTTAAGTTCAACTGAATATGAAGCTGAATGCCAAAAACTCATTGCCCATTTTAAAACCCTAGCCTCGACGTTGAAAGATACTGTCCCGAGCATTGAGCGGTTTGCAGATACATATAAAATGGACTGCCCAGCTGCTCTGAATCGCTTGGTTACTGTCGGGGTGCCTGCTACAGTGGAGCATCGAGCTGCTGCAGCTGCATCGACTTCCACCTCTGCTGCCATTGTTGCAGAATGTGTCCAGCATTTTATAACTGCCATGGACACATTAAAATTGGAATTTAAGGCGGTTGATCAGGTGTATCCATTGTTATCTGATCTATTGGGTTCGCTTAATAAGTTGAGTATTTTGCCTCCGGACTTTGAGGGGAAGACCAAGATGAAGGAGTGGATTTCAAGGTTGTCGAAGATGGGGGCTGCAGATGAGTTGACAGATCAGCAGGCACGGCAGCTACACTTCGATCTGGACTCGTCATACAATTCATTTATGGCTGCTTTGCCGAATGCTGGGACTTGATTGATGATTTGGTTAAGCTTGTAAAGATTTGTGGGAATGGTTCTTTTGTTCGGGATGTTCAATATATCAGATATTATGTTGTTTTTCAAGCAATTTGTTAGAACCTCGGGTATAACATGGAAGGATGATTACTAATTTTGTAACATTTATACTTTTGGGAATGACTGCCTTATTCCAGCATAACATGATATATTTGGTGCTGATCATGAAGGAGATTGCATTCCATGATTTATTATGAATATGGGTTTGGAATTCAATCTGGTTTGTCATGTTGATATTTAGTCACTTATCATTTTGGACAAATATGTAATGAATTCGCACCAGTATAAACACATGAGCTATGCTTGCATGGTACCATTTGTTCAATCAATTTAGTTGATTGTCTATGGTCGTATATCCTTTACTATCCTTGCAAGTGCTGGAAATTCTTTGTGTTAATTGATATTCTGTTTTGCTCTTTTTTTTTTTTTTTTTCATTTTAACAGAGCTTAATCCCAAATGAAATCTGACTTTGTCTCAACTAGTGTTTTGCAAAAGTACCATGATTTCTGGGAAGGCTGAGGAAAGATCTCAGAATCTCTGTTGATGAACAGGTGAGGCTATTGTCTCAATATATTGCATATTTAAATGTATAATTACTAGAATTTCCTCAAGGATTTGAGGTTTTTCATGTAAATAACTGTTGGAGAAACAGCCATTAACATTATTTTGATGATGATAGATGCTGATGCCATCAAATTCAATTTTCTGAGAATAGTCTAGCATAACTAGGTGAAAGATACAATATTCACATAAGTAAATTTATTTTAAGGAGTTTTACATCTTGTTATTGATTAGCATACAGTGTTTTTGTTTCTGAATGGAACTTTCTTTTTTCTTTTTTTCTATTTCCAATTTTAGGATCTTGACTTAATATGATAGCAGAAAATTGGGTATATTTGTGCAGTAACTTGCTTCTCATTAATGGCGGAAATGTAAGCTTTATCACTTCACTGGGAACCAAAATAAGCCAACTCAAGATGTCGGAGGCGTTGGCCCTCAGATGAATGGGGCAGTTTTTATTTAATGGTGTCTGTTTTGCTTTGTTAGTGTGTCATTCTTATATGTATGTTAATGTGTTTTGTCTTTTCAATACAAACCCAATTAAGAGAGTTCATTTATATTGAACTAGTCTTGCATGGGCAATGATCAATAACTTGTAAACCTGCTTTAGTTTGCTGTTAGGTTCATGTGATTGTTTGAGCTAGCTGCAGGTTCTTCATACTTTTGTTTGTGTGAAGGGAAAGGGAATATTAAGTATTTTTTTCAAGCTATTTTATAAGGCTTCTTGATATCTCGAAGCCAGGACTAATTACATCCAGTGTCCCCTTGTTTTGCTGAAACTGTGAAATCAGTGAGAATTAGCATCAAATAGCCATAGCATATTGTATATCCTTGTCTTGAAAAGCCATTGCTTTTTATTGATCAACTCCCTCTGCTGAGTTTATTATCGAACTTGAAAGAAAGAAGATGTTTTTTTTCTTTCTCTTTTTGGAATTTGGGTGTTGGGATTAAGCAGCAGAATCTCTCTCTATAATAAAAAACTGTCAGACAATTATGTAAGAGGCCATATATATATATATTGAAGTAGCTGAACAATAAACATCAATGACATTTCCAATGAAAGGAAGATTCTTAATTATTGCAATATAACAATACTTCATTATAGTCTATAGAGAAGAGTTGCAGACGTATCTTGCTTGGAATCTGTGTTCATAGAAACCATTATGCTAGTAGTAGTAGTTGTAGCTGGAACTCTGAATGTAATATTTACTTTCGCTGTGCCCTTCTACCAAACGCGAGATTCCCTCTTCAGATAATTAATGTTTTAGCAGTTTTTTAGATGCTGGGCCTTTTGGATGAGACTTATCAATGTAGCGTTGAATCTTTTTTTGCTTGTGTGCAATTTTGAAGCACGGATAACATCATTGCCCTGCACTACAATGAGAAAGAGGAGAACTCTTTACGTGTTAGTTCGTTATTAGTCAATTCGTAAAATGAGTTCCGTTTTCTTATATGAGTCTCATTTGTTCATCTGCAAGCTAACTGATAACGAGAGAAAGTTATTGGTGTAACATTATTGCTTTTATTTCCATTATTGTGAACTGAACAATGTACATGGTCAGTGGAAAGGAAAACAAATACTTTTATCTTGGTTTTGTGAGGAATTTGATTTAGAATTTCAGTAACGGCGTGAGCTCTTGGTTCCTTGCTTGTTTTCAGATTCTCATGAACATCAATGTACTATTAGTGAAGTTCCTCAGGAGCATTGGGAACAATGGCATTATAATAACAATACCGACAAGAACCGCAAAGAAACCAATGCAAGTCCATTGCCTTCTAGTCTTTTGTATTTGCTTGGCCTCTTGAACCTCTTTACTCACATTTCTAACAAATGAGTTTGCTTGTGTAACATGTCTTTTAATATCATTTATTTGGTGATTCTGATCTTCAACAAGAGCACCCATATCCAGAAATATCTCATGAAGCTCCATCAGATTCTTCTCCATCACTTTTACACCATCATGTCTCTCTTGAATTACTGATATCGTCTCTGAAATCTCGCCTCTCCCTTGATCCTTAATCGCCTTCTGCAATAAACTTTCGCTGTTACCACTCGACATTAACTCCTCAATCGTTTCTTCATCTGGATTTTGTCCTGTGATGGTAAAATACCTGCGTTCAATTGTTTCTTTATACTCGGATTGCACTCTGATTCTGAAATTTTGAAACTCATCCATCATATCCTTGAGCTTTTTTCTGAGTCCACTGACTACTGAAGTCCTGGTTCGATCAACTGATGAACCAGGACCGCAGCCTGGAATCTTCTGGCTAGCTGCGTTGGAGCGTTTCAAGGCTTTGAGCTTGCCCTTGATGAATTTGACTAGTTTCAGAACCTGCTGGACATCCGAGTCCATCCGGGCTCCAGTTACTTTCACAGTCTTGGTATTATGGGCAGTTTTGTTTTCTTCATTAGCTTCGTGCAATTTCTGATACAACATCTCAACATTTTTGATCGCACTCTTAACATTCTCAACATCTTCAAAGAATTTATCAAGTGTAACATTTTCCCTCGCGGCCTCCACATCATCCTCGTCCACCTGCTGGTTCTGATCCGTGTACTTTTTTAATGAATCTGAGAACAGATCATTCATCTTTGCAAAGTACTAAAAACAAGAGGAAAAAAAAAAAAAAAAAAAAAAAGAGCCATAGACTGCTAGCGTATGGCTTAATTTACATATATAGGTTTGATGTTAAAGCTTTTAGAGTGTGTAACTATGAAATGAATCTTGTTATTTCTACTCGGATTGATTGTGAGTGTTTGGGATGTTAATTGCAGTTGGTGTCACCTTGATCATGTAGTGCAGTGTAATGAATTGAGAAAAGCTGAATATTGTATTGGAGGTTATCAACTACCATTCCTTTCTTCATGGATTTCAAAACTTAATACCTAAAACTACAACAGGGTTTTTTAGTTATTTCAAAAGCCTTAGGGAGTGTTGTTTTTTAATCAAGCTCAGGGGAATTATTGTTGAACTATTACAAATGTATGGTTTGATCAGTTTGAGAAAAACTTCGTCACCATCCCTTTTCTTTAATATTTATATATTTTGTCGTAAAGTAATCTAAATACTTCCATGATTAGTTCTTATCTCTTTCCAGACCTTGAAAATTAAAGTTTTAATCATTTTATCAATGAATTAAAACAATTTGAATTATAGCATTAACACTATCAACTTCTAGTCATCCCAATTAATGAATCCTGTGCTTTAGTTTAATCATTTTCCCCTAGATGGGATTGAATAATAACTTCCTTCGAGGTTCTAAAATAACAAACCCCCTAATGTTAAGTTTTAGATGTTATAATAACAGTCGGAGACAATTGAATATATCAATAACTCTTGATAGTATAGTATTAACTACAATGTAATTTTTGTTATAATTTCAAACTTGAGAAAGTCTATTTCTTTAACTCTTTTATTTATACGGAATTTACAATTTTTGTTTAAGTAAAATTAAAATAACCGTTCTGCTAGACATGAGGAGCAAATTTCTGAATGGCACTGTAAAATCTGGTAATATTAACAAATGTCCAAATTAACCAGAAACTAAAGAGCTCATCATCAAGCAAAACAGAATACCCAACTAATTTCTCAAACAATAAGAGAATGGTTCATTCTTCAGACACTTGTTTGGCATTCAAACTACATTTTTTGTCATTTGTAACAAACAGGCACAGCTTCACTAGAAAATGTAATTTCTCTTTCAATGCTCAGCAAAAATTTGGCACATCATAATTACATTCTCATTGTCCCTCAAAAAGGCAGAAGGTGAGCTCCTAAAAAGTACATTAGCTTCAACCTACCACCCTTTCCTGATGCATTTTCGATCTTGTAATACTTCAAATATGCACTAATATTTCTGTAGGGGATGACATTATAGAATGCTAATCTGTAAGGTTATTGGTTTCCTAACCATGTCAGCTCATTTTCTGCCCCTACCCTCAATTTATGTACAAACCTGAAGCAGTAAAATGCCTACGGGGATGAACACATTATGAAAATTGTCCCCGCTGCATTTATGGTCAATATAGCCCAGCATAGATGATAGCTGCAGATTATCCATTGGCAGATATGGATGCAGAAGGTTTCATAGGCAAAGTACCATGATGGTCATTGTCAGCATCTTGATGACTAGTGTCAAGGGTGATGGTGTTGCCGATTTTTTCTCCTGTTCCACCACCTTGCAATGCCTGATTAACTGCAGAATTGCTATTGCTACCTGTTGACAATCTCTGATGCCTGAGATACCTCTCAGTGGCATCTTGGATCAGGGCCATCATGTTGACAGAATCTGCACCAGGCGATAGTTCCTCTTCTCGCTCTGGCTGGATATTTAGGTCAATTTGGCCTTTAAAAGGGGAAGTGGAGGATTTCATTTTGTTAGAGTCATCATCGGAACCCTCACTAACTATCTTTTTCTGGTTTGGGCTGCTATTTTCTGTCTTGCTGGACTGGAGGGGGTCATCATCCAATGGTTTATCAGGTAATGGCAGCTTCTGCTGCGGCTTCTTGCGTGAACTTTCTGCATCTTTTTCGGATTGTTTCTTCTCACGCCGCAACATAAGGGTGTGGAAACGGCGCTTCACTGTTTGGCACACATTACATGTGCATGTCTGCTTGTGTTTGGGCCCCTTCCCACTTGGGGGTTGAATGCACACAATGCATGAACAGCCAGGTCTATGCCGGGGATGCTTTGTAGTGGCCTGGGATGATGCTGGAAGTGCCTCACCTTCACCCATTATGGCTAGGTTGGCAAGCGTGTCAAGACCCTCTAAAGCTTCAACATTATCAGGTTCCTGTTTAGTGGCCTTCATTTTCTTAGAAGAAGCTGCCAATCACAGTAAAAAAGAACCGATCCAAATTGAATAGTTGGGAATAATTTGCAAGTAACAGCATTCAAACACATGATGCAATCATAAAACCATCAAAATTTCAGTTAATAAAGCTCATCTGCTGCTTGTGAGCCATGTAGATACAGCAATATAATTTTGTCCAAAGCAATTTTTACCTGAATTACAAGGTAGCAAATCTTCAAACTGTTCCCCTCTCACTTCTTGAGCTGCTGAACAAAAGGATCTGGCAACAGGGAGGATTCAAACACATTAATGAAATGCAAATACAGAAAAATATGCTCTCTATTCTAACTTTAAGCACCAACCCTGTTCAATATATCTTTATGCAGGGAAGCCCCTATGCTAACATGTGAAAAAGATAATATCTTGAGGCCGGAATTGGCACCTTCCTAACCGAAAGAGAGGAAGAAAGGAAAAACTATAAAAGGTCTTTTGAAACCACAATCAGTCCTAAACCACATAAAATCATCCTTAAACTGTACATCATAGAAGTAGCAATTTGATAACATGAACACCATGAAGGAATGAATTCCAATTCGGTCAAGAAAGCATACTCTTCAAACTGCATATTAGCAGCTTGCAGGGAATGTTAAATGGGACGGCTTTTTTACCACATTATAACTGGAAAATGAGGTTGAAGAGGCTATTGGAACATCCACAATCATGTAAACAGATGAAAATTCCCTCTCACACCAAAGGTTGAGGAGCAGTTGGTTTATATTTGTATGTTTGAAAATGAAGTACTAAAAATATCTGAAAATACACATTTTGAGAACATAAAAATGGATGCTATTTGTACCTTTCTAGATCCCATGTGTTGCCCGAACACGTCCACTTGGATGGAAGAAGAGCATTGGCAGGCAATTTGCGCCACTTGTGACAATCTTCACATTGAACCCATTGGATCTTTTCACTGACACAAAGTAAAAGATAATGAAATTTGTTTCGCTTGACATGACACAAATATGATAAGTCTATTTCAACTAAAATGCAATACAGCAGAACCTGAAAACTATAACTAAAAGGAAACATCCAACTGTTCAGTCGATATAGACAGAAAGAAAAGAGATGATCACAAAATAGCTAAGTTCACTTGATATTTGGACTGTGTATTCTGGTATGAAGCGTGATTTATGGAATTTAAGTCAAGAGTAAACTACAGAGAGCATGTTAATTTGCATCTATATTAGAACCCTAACCAACTTTAGCCATGCTCTCCTTCCTAACACCAGTAACCTTGTCTATTATCAACATAGTCATGTAGCTGATTTGGAAAAACCCTAGACCCAGTCTCTATGACCATGAAGCCAAACTTTTTCAGGTCAGTTTTACAAACTTAACCATGCTCTCAATTCATGTCAGGAACAAGGACAATATTGATAGTTCACAAAAATTTTAACTAGTCAATAAAGGCAGTTGGGGAAGATAACAGATCTTTATTCACAATGATGTCCGCCAAAATTTCTGTTATGTTGAAACCCTGAAAATGGAGCTCAGTGTCGAGCTGTAGAAATTTTCTGAGTGTCTAGATGATTCAACAATATAATTCCATGAATGTGAACAATTCCAACCCGTACAAGTTAGTTCTTCAAAATTTTGAAACAACATCCAGAATATAGAAACATAACAAATCTATATCAACTGAATATTATGCAAATAATTCCTTTTTCAATTATTTGTTGTACAAACAACAGAAAATTTATATGCTATATGTTACACAGCAGATACAAATATGATTGAATGAGCTACAAGCAAAAGTAAACCAAATTATAACCAAATAAAAGAAAATTATTTACACAACATTATTATCTTAGATACAAGCTCAAACTCTCAAAGATTAAGTAATTTACCCCATGTTATCTGTTGTAAATAATGTTGGCTTCCCCAGTATTGGTGCATCCTGTTATCAAAAAGGCATAAAATGTAAGAACTTTAGAACCAGGCAGCGAAAAAGTCATATCTAGACAGTCCAAATCATATGATAATATATGGTCCATTAATAAGACTTTTATAGATATTTCTTTTTATGACATTTTTTACCATCACAATATTCCTTAGAATTCTCTTAAATGAGGACAAGTGTCTCTTTGCATCCAAATAAAAGTTAATGTATCAGTGGCAGCATAGTTAAGTCTACAAGAAAAAGTTTACAGGTCTTGACTTAGTTTTTATGTGGCATTGTCAAGGGAGTGCAAAGCCCACTTCGTTATTCTTATTCACACACAGTAGAGATGTTGAAGATAATCTAACGCTCGTTATAATTTTTGCAGCACAACAGTTTATTTTTAAACTTAAAAATGAAATCAGCATTGAATTGTATATATAAGATACCGTGCCACCAAAAGTAACCTGATATGTGATAGAACTTCAGAAGACCTAGAAATCAAAAGCATCATGATCTTACCGACCAGGTTCCCCAGAGCACAAATTTCTAATATATATATCCTCTGAAAATGCAAGGGATCATGCAGGCAGCCTAACTAGAGTGGTCTTATACAAATTCATTAGGTCCTTCATGGTAAGTCCTCATTCATGCCACATCAGCATAATGTGATTCGTGCTCTGGGAAACTTAAAAAGCAAACATTTGTCAAAACCAAAATCACAGAATACAAGAAACCTATATCTTGTCACAAGCAAAGGCAACAGCAAACATTAAATCACATGTGACTAAAGAAAAATGAAATAATAACTGCTAATAACAAGGAACACAGTTAAAAATGGTACCTCATACTCCTCAAACTCATAACCTTCAATCACCACAACAGTAGGAACATTATTAGGAGGACGAAGTAGTCCTTGAGCTTCTTCCCATGTCAGCTTCAGCTCTATCTGGTCCTCAGTTTCAATTTTTGGGCGCTTATTCTTTGAACCCAACGCGGCGTTCTTCCGCTTTCTAGGGATTGAAGATTTCGCTGCAAGTGCTTCTGTTGCTATATATCCCGACTTATCAACCTTAGACCATGAACTAGGATCTGGCAGTTCAACCTGATTGATTTATGAAAAGCTAGGTAATATCAGCAATCTTTTAAATGACAAATAGTCAAAGCAATTTCATCAGTTTTAGTTTTGGTACTACTAACATCTCCATTTGTGGAAACTCCAGCGAGAGTCTTATTTGCTTCATTGTCCTGGCAAGTTGAAAGTAGATGTTAATTATTGACATGTACAAGAAATTGTCACAAACTATTTTCAATTGCTCTACAGCTACTAACTTTACTATGAACAATGACAATTTAAGACCAAAGACCAATTTCAGTGGTGGATTGCAAACTAGCAATTCCTATCTCACTTCAGGTAAATTATGCCTTGACATTCAATTTGTGTGGACTCATAGGTCCTCTTCCTGACCCGTGACCCGTGACCCGCACTCCTACCCCCACCCAAAAAACTTCATAATGTTATCTTATCTCTGAATATTTTCTGTAACTAACACTGCATTAAATAAGAAAAAATAAACAGATCCTGTATCACAAAGAAAATGTATACAAACTGAAAACTTCCGAAGCTTTGGAGACATGTTGTATAGCTGTACTGTCCACAGATATTAAGCACAAATTTGAGCTAGAAAGAGTCACAAATTGGCATTCTTAAAAGTAAAAACCAAATTTAAAATGAACACAAAATCACTGCATAGACTCATAACGGCATCTTTAAACACCATCAAGAACGGAAAAAAAAAGAAAAAAAAAGGAAGACTTTTGTTAACCACACCCATTGGCTATTACCATTAGCCTCTAGAACTTATCAAAAGTATAAAATTGTAACAAAGATACTAAGTGGCCCAAACCTGATCAGATGCTTGATTAGCTGAGGCCTTTCTGAATCCCATGACCAATTTCCCTTCAGGCTCTAAACGGCTAAACGTTACTGAGGAAACAGAATAAAATCTCAGTTCCAAAACCAGATAACCCATGAAGCATGACAAACTAAGTTGCACGATGATGACTACACTCATGTGGAAAATAGAATACATTAAGAGTATTTATGACAAAACCCCATGCCCAGGCCCAGGCCAAGGCTGGGCCCCTGGGGCTTTATGCCTGGATTTAAATTTAAATTAATTATTATTAAAGTTAATTAATACTTATATTGTGTATAATTATTATTATTATATATATAAATATTATTTAATAAAACCAGGCCCGGGCCAGGTATATATCCTGGGTTGGGCATTTTTGCCATCCTTATTAAGAGGAGNCAAACTAAGTTGCACGATGATGACTACACTCATGTGGAAAATAGAATACATTAAGAGTAGTTAAGACAAAACCCCATGCCCAGGCCCAGGCCAAGGCTGGGCCCCTGGGGCTTTATGCCTGGATTTAAATTTAAATTAATTATTATTAAAGTTAATTAATACTTATATTGTGTATAATTATTATTATTATATATATAAATATTATTTAATAAAACCAGGCCCGGGCCAGGTATATATCCTGGGTTGGGCATTTTTGCCATCCTTATTAAGAGGAGTGAAACAAGTAGACAAGAAAAATAAAAACAAAGCAACATCTAGATGTTTGATTAGATCTTAAAACCATCCATGTAAAAAATCCAGTAAAACCCAAGCAGCTGATAAAGTAAAAGTCCAAAGAGCTTCCAAGAACAAAATTGACAGCAGGTAAGGCACATGCGGAGTGTAAGCAAGAACAAGATCTTCCAAGGCAAAAAATACAATAAAATAAAATTTAATAATACTTGTCCGTGATATTGTTCAATTACCTATGTCACCTGCTTGCAATTGCATGTTCTGTATGCAAGGAGTAACCCCTTCCAACACATACATTCTACTATTATTATTAGGCCAGAAGCGAAACTGAAATATCCACTCCTTGCCTTTTGAATCCTGGACTTTAAGAGGCAAACCTTCAGGCTGAGAGATTGGTGGGAAATAGGCCTGTATCAAGGCGAATGCATGTTAGATAAATGATTGGATGCAAATTTAAGGGAAAATACTACTTCTATAAATTTAGCAAGGAGCTAAAATGAATTCGCATTAATAGTTGATAAGTAATCCAATACAATTCATCTAGCTGTATAAATCTCATGCTAATGATGAGTTCCAGAAGAGTTTAGTGGATTTTTTGACACACTAAACTACAATATCACATAAATCAGGAAGATTTTCTATAACAATTACACTGGTTATCACCAGTATAAGACATAGAATAGCTACAAGACCAACCTATAACAGCTAGATAAACAGAGATATAACTGTAATTTTCACCTATCCAAGTCTTCATGGTTATTTAAGGATTATTAAATATGAGGGTAGAACTTAAGTGTCCAAAAATATTAAAATCATAATGATGTTTACATCATTATTATTTTATCACTCTGAGATTTCCTTTTCAAAGAGAGTTCTCTGCCTCATGAAGCAAGGAGGCGACTTTTATAATTTTTTCTTGACTGCTGAGCCAATGCTGTGAAGATTATCTTGTTCTGCTTACATACAAATCTATAATCTTCTACAGTGATCAATAACGATTTAATCACCCCATCATAGCAACAATCGTGTAATTTAATGAACCAAATGAAAAAACTTACAATAATGCGTCCTATATATATAACAGGTAAAAAGGATATTCTAGTATATGATGATAACTCCAACACCAAAAACAGAGAAAAAGATGAAATAGGACAAATAATGATAAAACTGCAAGCACAAACCAAATACGAAGGATCTTCCAATCTAACCCCTCCACATCCACCATTAATAGGTTGACACTACCATTAGGCACGCCCACATCGAGAGGCACAATTAAGCCCACAAGTCTAATAGTGAACTCTTTTAACATACCAGACTAGTCTTATGATCTATCCTTGACAGAGAAACCTTCCAAGTTGCATGAAGAAAGAAACCCAATTGAAAGCATCATATAATCAGGAAAATATGCACGTTTATTCCATCAATATTTGCATTAAGCATCACAGAGGCGAATTTCAACAATAACTAAAAATGTATTTCAGTTCTATGCATTAACCATAGTGATCACCTCAAAAAACAATTGGAAAACCAAGAATATCTTGTAACTAATACAGATCTAAAAAAGGTAATCCAGTACACACATAACCAAAGTCACCACGTTAACAAACAACTGGAAAAATAGGAATATCTTCTTAGTAACACAGAGAGCTTGAAAATGAAAAGTTGAATAAAAAGAGAAGCCAAGCTGGAGACATAAGAACTCACCTCTGCACATTTTTTAGGAAGCACCAAACGTCCAATTCGGCCAGCATCACTTGCACTCAACATTTTCTCAAACAAAGGAGTGATAACAGAATTTGAACTTTGGTAAGGTTAAGGTTCCACGAGGTTCTCTTTACACAATACAGCAAGAAATAAGAATTCATATTTTCATTTTTCAAATAGCCTCAACAACCATGTTATGATAAATAATATCATGCACTTACAAGCTAATCATTAAGAAACCCTTCCAAAATCAAAGGATACTCTCCAGAGATCTGCTGCAGATCTTGATCAGTGAACCTAGGCCAGTACCGAGGAAGTAACTGATTTCTTCCACGGGCATCTACCCGGGGCCTTCCATTGCGAATTTGAGTTTCACCCATTGAATCAAGTCCATTATGTGAATTACCATGAATTTGCTTCACCATAGACGGTTGAAGGACTGGTCGCAAATGAGCTCCAGAGATCCCCAGTTGACCATTTGTTTCGTTTGGAGATGCATAAGGTGCAGCCAAACCAAAATGTGTAGTAGATGGATCATCCTTCAAAGAGGAAGGCTGATGGGGTTTATTTAAACATGCACTAGGTTGCTCCTCGCAATTAATTCCTGCAACACAGTATCAAGTCAGGTTTAGCAACCACTTTTATATGCTTTTTCTGCTGGACATTTTCTCCAGCATGGAAGAAGCATTGCAAGTAACCAGTATGATGTAGTTCTGAAGTGACATACTAAATGCAGGGAAACAATTTGAACCTGTATTTCCATTCTCAAGTATATCCCTTGAAGCACCCTTAAGTCCTCCATTCATCAGCCTTTCAGAAAAATCATCAATTTTCCTTTTCTCCAAGGAAGGGGCAGTTAATCTTTCACCAGCATTGAGTCTGTCAATGCTGGTAGATAAGTCAACTTCATAGGACACTCTTGGATGCAATTCAGACTGAGGAATCGAATTGAATAGAGTGGGTGCTTGCCGCCAAGGTACAGGACCTGAACCAGCTAACTGAGTCCAATTTTTGACAGAAAGGTCTTTAAGTCTCTCAGGTAAAGGCATTTGATAAAATAAAGGTGGCCATGAAGGATTTGGTGCCTGACATACATCATATAAAATGAAAAGAGAGTCTCAGTAACAATTTTACCCCAAAGCTATAGGAACATAGTCAATAATATCATTTGTTTTAAGTAGCACACAAGCAATTCACGTCAAGAACTAGAAAGAAAAAATCCTAATGAAGAGATTTCCCTTGTTTATGCATTAACTCAAATATAAGCACAGTAAAATTGCACCACAATTCAATTAAACCAAAATGGTTCTATGCCAAAGCAAAAGAAAAAAAACAAAAAACAGATACACACACATGCATACAGGTATTCCAAATTTGTGATAGATTATTCTGATAGATAAATTTAGCAAAGTTTTAAGAAAATGGCATAAAAATCAATGCAGATATAATACTTCGATTAATATTTTGAACAAATAGAGTGATAGTTTGGTATGTGCAACAGCAGCTGGATAATAGGTTTGTAAGATTTAACAGAGAACCAAAAATGAGAATTAATCATATCCATCAAATTAAAACCTTTGATGATCACCTCCATTTCCATCTACTCTTAAGTATACAGCATGCACACTCCTTTTATAGCACATTCTCACCCCCACTATCAGAAACATTGACTCCAAACATCTTGCGTGACAATTTTTTTTCATCATAAGGAAAAATAAATCAATGAACACCCTATTATTACTGCAAGGCAGCTCCTTACCCTCCAAACCATCCTTAACATCATTATCCAAAAGCCACAACCTCTTCACTCACTATACCTCAATGAACAGAACCTTAATTAATCAGCCATTCTTTGCAAGTACTGCCAGCAGATATGCATACTTACCCTAGCTAAAGTGAAGCAAGCAATGCAAACTCTGAAACCAAAATTTCCTCCATTAGCATTCCATTTGACTGATAAAAAATGATTGGACTTGTCCAAATTCAAATCATACAACATTGGTAGAGTTTATTAAAATACAAAAAATCAATGAAACAGTTTTAACCAAAATATTTTTAGTATCATCAATAAGACTTAGGAAAATAAATTGTCAGTATCCAGAAATGGCATAATGAACAAACTATATAGCCAAAAAAAATTATAAACATAATGCAAATCAGCCAAATTCATCCTTACCAAAAGGACATTTTTTCTTGCACATGTCATGCACTCAATTCCTCCAGCATCTAACAATGTAAATGCATTAACTGAAATAATACATCCACAATGAACCCGCTGCAAGGTAAGTTTCAACATGAAATGAAGAATCAGTATAATCCAAAACTGAAATTTGGAAGACAGAAGCCACATATTTAGTACATGACACTAAAAGAGCATGGAAACCATGTTTTGCTCACCTTGCTACAAGTATCACAAGACCTCCAACCAGAAGCATTCAAATGAAAAGTATCACAAAATCTTCCCTCCTCATAAATAGAACTAGAGCCACAAAAAACAAGAATCAAAAAGAATAATCATCACAACCTAAAAAACATCACCACAAAACACAAAACACAAAACATTTATAAAATTATTGAATATGCAATATAATAGAAATTAAATAGGCTAAGAACAAATTTACACCATGGAAAAGTTAGTTATGAGTTGAACCCCAGTAAACTAGTATAATAATCCCTAATTTCAGACCCCCTCCCCTGAAACCTAATAAAAACCAACAACAAAAAAATTAAAAATAATAATAATTTTAAAGGACAAAGATATTGACCCACAACAATTAAGGCAAGATTGGTCCAACATTAAACTCGAAATTAAAAAGGGACAATGAACAAATACATAGATGAGAATAGTCTTCAGGGTGAGAAAAACAAAGTAGATATTACGACCACAATACAAAACCTCAACATTGAATTTGCCTATCTTAAATCTAAATCATGGTAGCTCCAAAGCATTTTTATTGCTTGAAAATATATGTGCACTCTTAGGGCCTAAACTAACAATTCTTTTACTAGTGCACAAACAAAAATTACATTTCACAAGGCAATTAAGCATGTAGATTTTTGACTTTTTGTTGCAATTAACATGTCCATATGTTAACATTTCCGAGGCAATTTAAACAAAAAATAAAACAAAGTACCCAAAATGACTGTAGAAAAGGACAATGAAACTCACAAATCGCACTCAGCATGAAAAAACCAGTATGTGAACCTTTACAAACAATGAAGTTCATGGCAAAGAAAAACTTTATTTAGCGACATATGTCTTAGCTGATAGACTACAACCAAGACACTAATGTCTTGCAAATGGTTGGCAAGGAAGGAGTTGAATCATTGCTCGAATAGGCTTTCTGAAAAACAAAAAATATTATCCTATGCATTAAATCATTTACACTTACCTAAAGTATTTCCAAGAACACAACCATGTGAGAACAAATTATTGCAAAAATGGTTTGCGTCCTCTAGTTGCCTATTTATACAAATTACCTCAATGGAAATATTTTTTTTTTTTCCTACAACAATAAATACGTTAATGAATCACACAATAAACACATATCATTAATGGTACCGAATTCACAATACATACATATCATTAACGTTGCCCTGTATATGCTAATCCAGAAAATGCACTGAACAAAACTCTATGCATGCTCTTACTGTACAAGAAATGTCAGTGCTCAGAAGTTAATGTGCACCACATAACATATGTCACCATTCCCATCCACTACATCTTTTAAAATCATTTTCCAGCTCCAACCAACAATCAAGAAAATTATTTTAGTTACAGGGAAGGCAATTCATAATCACAAACCAGTTTCAATTTTTTTTTTTTTTTTTTTTATTTTGATGAGAAAACTGGCTCTCAATTTTTTTTTCCTCCTTTGAAGATAAAGTAACTTAGCTTAACATTTTGAAAGATAGCAAACATTCTTCCAAAAAGTCTAGGTCTTTATGGTCAGTAATCAAGTACTATTGATAACTCAACTTAAAATGAACATGACTCAAAGTCGTCTTCAAGCTTTTATCTAACACCCTAACACTGACCACATTCCATTTGAGCGAACAAAATTTAATTTTTTTCAAAAAAAAAAAAAGAGTCGATTGATTGTATTTTTTCAGTCCAAGAGACCACTCTACTTTCTACAATAAAGCGTGACATGCATATATTCAAACAAGTCAATACCTAACTTCATACATAGCACCAAACATACATAAACCAAAATCCAATTTTTATTTTCAAATTCATCCTCCCAGCATACCCAATTTCAAGCCAAACCCAAAATTCATAAATTACCAAAACCCCACAAAGCCACTATCTTTTTTTCGCCATAACCCAAAACACACAAATTCAAACCAAATTCAACCCAAACAATCAAGAGAGTCAACAAAGACTAAAAAATATTTCAGCTCACCCGCATCGATCACACAGCTCCGCCAACTCGCCGCCACGTAAAAGCCAGCCTTTCCTCGGCCGCTCCGATTTCAACTCCTTACACTCTTTGTTAAAACAAATCTTCGACGAAGACGACATCGAACAACAACAAAAACGAAACAACCTCAAACGCTCCAAAAGCAAAACATAAACTCAGAAAATTCTCACAGCTCACCGCCGTCCAATGAGTAAAAATAAAAAAACTACAAAAGGGGTTTGAAATGGCTGATCTGCAAAACAATCACTCGAACAAACGGCTTTTGGAGAGGGGTTTTAGTTTTCAGAGAAATATTAATAATAATAAAGAGACAGTATTTATTTATGCGTTTGTTTATTTATATTTATATCTGCGTGCGTGTTTATGTATGTACATATTTTTATGGTCTTTTTTGTCCTTGTTTCAGTTCAATTTAATTGGTCCAAAATAATCCTAAAATTATCTGAACAAAGATATATCTGTACTCTCCTGAGCAAACAAGACGGGAGGCATTTCCGTCATTTCCCTACAGTTTGACTTGTGGTGTACTCGCAGTGATTTTAGGAAACTCCCGCATGTGCAGACACGACAGAGAGTACGATGAATTTACGTACTCGAGTGAGTAGGGAACTTGGTGATTATTTGTAAGGTAATGTGATAATCATGCATGGTCCCGCCGCGGAGGTCATGCAATCACGTAACGCATAGTTTCTAAGACACGCGCGTTATGTTTTGTTACGACTTACGACTTCGTTTTGTTGCTTGTTTTTCTGGTTTTAATCAGTCTAGTGAGCTTACAGACTCCGGCCCCCCAGGTATAATTACACGGTTCCCTCTAAAGTTTCTAAGATGATAAAAACCCCCCTCACAGGGTGTTAAAATATACAATAATAGAATAATTTGATAAATATTTATTAACTTCTGATAGTGTAAGTTCTGACAATTCATTGACTGTTCACTGTCAGTAGAAGAATTTTTGCTATTTGAGAAACTTTAGGAGAATTTTTATTAGGAAAATAATACAGTCACCGACGGTAGTGCACCGAATTTGTGCATCGGATGACGTGACAAAATCCTAACCATTGATTAATATTAACTTAATATTAATCAATGGTTAGGATTTTGTCACGTCATCCGGTGCACAAATTCGGTGTACTACTGTCAGTGGCTATAACATTACTCTTTTTATTATTATATCAAACCTCAAGAGTTTGTATAATGGGCAATATTACATTTACAACTTAATTTCATAAATTTTCTCTTACAACTCCGACATGATAATTCACAATTGGCCTGTTTGTAACAGGTCTCACTAATTCAATTACGGGTTTTGTCTGTCTAATTGTGAGTTATTACGTCAAAATTGTGAGAGAAATTTTATAAAATTAGGTTATAAACTAATATTTATTGTGGTATAATTTTAGCTCTAGTTTAGTACTAATAGTTGGATGTAAAGAGAGTGGCATAGAGTTTCTTTAACAACCATATGTGACTTAATTATAGTTGGTACAATTAGAAGTAAAAGTGTTTAACATGCAAAGTGGGGTCGGACGTAGCGGTTGAGTTGATGTGATGAAAAATGTTGGCGTTTTGAGGAGGTTAAAATCGTGTGCAATAGATATAACATAGAACTTAGGTGGAAGTGGGTGTTAAATTTGATGGAAATTAATTTATTGAAGTGTGACAGAATAGTTGTCAAAGTGAGGGATGTGGTCCAAATGGATAATATTTGTTAATTAATGATATGCGTAAGTTTCTGTTTGGCATTGGGTTGAATAGATGAGGTGGATTTGTCTCCAATCATGATTCCAAGAGTTTCAAGTCTTCACATTCATTGCGTGCCATAAAAACCTCGGTACCACCACAAGTTTCACATTTTATTCACTTATCAACTATGGTTAGATGAGATATTTTGGTTCTTCTTGTAGTATATTTTCTTCTTTTAACAAGTTACCTATCACCTGTCCCCTCAGCTCCTAATATATTCAAAGTACTAAATAATTTTAATTAAGTATAAACAGTTATTTCTTAAGAACAAATGATGGTTTGTTTGACTCTTACTTATGAAAGAACACCCGTTCATTAATAAAGAATTATTATTCATAATCCTAAAAGATTGGTCTACCGGTTAAGAGATGTGTTCTTTTTCTTAATTTTCTTTCTGGATTCAAACTTTGGGGTCACCTACCTCAATATATAATTATATCTTACCCTATTTATTAGGTTTGTAGAGTATTTAATAGACCCCAGAGATTAGTTAAAGTGCATATAAACTGACCCAGACATCTAATTATCCAAAAAAAAAAAATTGTTCCTTACGAAGAAACAACTATTCCTTATAATTGAACGGTCGTTCGTCTCTAAGGAACGATCATTCGTCTCTAAAGAACAGTTGTTTGTGTTTAGTCAAAATTATCAGTTAACGTGATAATGCCAATTTTGTTACCACATTAAGGATATAAGAGAATGTTGTGAGATTGGATTGTAAACGTAATATTTTTATAACTGAAAATGTAATTACGAATAAGGAATACGGAGTTTTACTAGTTTTATAGAACAAACAAAGTTTGTGAGAAAATAACTATGGATTACACTTTAAGTTAGTGTAAAAAAATTAGAATTGTTTCTGCTCATTAATAAAGCATTAAATGAGACATGGGTTTATAATATTATATTTTTGTATATCCGTATTGACATTACTAATGAATTTCTTTATCATTATATAAATTGATTATATTTAATTATATTATATATAGTCTTTTTTTATTATATGGATTTATTTTGGTTCAGTATTTATATTCATATTTTCAATCCTATTCTACAAATATAGTTTGACACATTATTTAAGAGATATTACTATATTTTTTTAATTACTTTAGACCTCTTAAGCTTATTAATTTCATTAAATACCCTTGGAAAAAAAGTTTAAAAATTAACAAAAACACCCCCATCAACCCATACTTGTCAGATTCTGGCAACCATCGTCAGTGGTAGCCAGAATCTGTATAACGGCCTACCTGCTGACCAGAAATGGTCAGAAGTTTACCGATCTGGCCTTTAGCGATGGCCAAAGAAATGATCGTCGTTGACGGTCAATGACAGCCAAATCTTGGCGATCGTTGACTGAAAACGACGGCCATATCTTTGGCCGTCGCTGACGGCCAAAGATGAACTTCTTTTGATGTTTTCCAACCATTGACGACAATATTTAGCCGAAGATTTGGCCTTTTCTGACCAGATCCGTGGTGGATCTGGCCAAAAAAGGCCATAGCGTAACGAAATTTTTCGACCAGATTCTGGCGGTGGTGGCCAGAATCTGGTACTGCAGGTGGTGAGGGTGTTTTTGTTATTTTATATATTAGGGTGTTTAATTAAATTAACAAACCTAGGGTATTTTTCATAAATTTTTAAATTTTATCTCGTAATATTCCCCTATCCAACTACCCAATATTATTTCCAAAATACTATCCAAAATAATAAACCAAACGCACCCTTATTTATTTATTTAATTATTATTGGATAAAGATTGTTATACAATTAATCTTACAAATTTTCTCTTATAATTCTGTGATGATAGTTTGTAATAGGTAGACGTAACTCATTTATAAACTGTCATATCGGGGTTGTAAGAAAAAAATTGTAAAATTAAGTTATAAATATAATATTATCTTTTATTATTACTATCTTTTTTGCGTGTTAGTCTCGGAGCCTTTTAATATTTGTAAAATGGAAAAGCCCATGTAAAAGGATGACGTAAACTTACCAATTGTAGATTGAAGTTTCAAAGCTCCGGACTGCATGGAAGCTACATTAAAATTTCACTTCAAACTGAGTGGTTAGTTTTTACGATAAACATCATAGAAATTTTGAAGAAATATTCCAGGTATTCTTGCGTACACATCTAATTAAAATACAAGAAAAATAGAAAATGACAGACTCCTTAAAACTTGGATTTATTATACTCGGGGAAGCACATTACAGGCCTGGAAAACTCTAGACAAAATTGATCAACAAGAGGAGCATAGATTGAAGATTTTAAGGTTCATTATGATAAAAACTAAACTCTTAAGCCAAAAGCTATCTCTCGACTACATCTAATAAATTATATATATATAACAATGTTCTTTGAGTTCGACTTGATGCTTGGATTTCTCATTTCCTTTTCTAGGTGAAACCTAACATCTTCACAATCTAGTGTGCCATGACGGACACCCACATGTAATACTTTCTCTTAATTCTTGCCCTATCCATGAAATTACATATAATATATAGCATCATATTTGTATACATAGTATAGGCAATGTGGTTTTCAGTTTTCCACAAAAAAATTCGAAAATGATGTTTTATTACTGAAAAAATAAGATTACTAGTGAAATAGATTACTTGAAATATTATTTTATTTAAAAATCTAGCTAAAACATTCCAACCACAAAAAAATTTAAAATTTGACAAAATAACCCCGATCACCCAAGACAAGTGCCGGCCGCCGCACGATTGGCCAGATCTAGTAGGTTGTGCGTCATTTCGGTGACTGACAATTGTCTTGGGCGGCTGGGGTGTTATGTAAATAGTTTTTAGATCATGGGCATTATTGTCCAAAAAAAAAATAGTTCTTAGCGGTAAAATTGTAACGAAATTAAGATAAATTTTATGTAAAATGAGGGGCATTTTTGTCAAAGAAATTAATTTATGAGGTCATAGAAGTCATTTTGCACAATTGAACTAATTATTATTTGATAAACATTTGAGGTAAATGTGTTCGAAATGATATTTAATTAAGGCAAAATAGGTATAAAATTTAGATTACTATAATAATATTTTAATAACACCCCTCAAAATGGTAATTTAATTATCTCATATTTTATTAACAGTAAATATTATTTGTATTAAAAGATTATAAAAATATTTTATTACTTAACAACCCAACAAACCAATCTTGAAAATTAAAGAAAAATTATGGAAATAATTAACCAATCGCAAAATGTTATTAACATAGAATTAGAATATGTACATAGTCATAAGTGATAAGACAATTAACAAGGCGTATATATTCGGAAATTTTTATCGATCATTCCACCGCAGCTCAAGTGTAGTGTATATATATAAATAGATTTTATTTAAATTAATTTTCTTGAAGATTGTGAAGTGAGGGAGGCCATACCTATGTGACGTCAACTTTTCCTCTTTCAGATCCTTTTATCTTTATTCAATTTCATTCGCTTGATCTCCCCGTCCTGTCAATTCACTTTGGACCCACTCCATCCAATTTCTACTTCCCTTCAAACTCCATCACACTTCACAATTCAACTGTGAAGCTACTCTTTTTTATTATGTGTTA